TTTTTTCATTCTTGAGAATAGTGTATGTCAATGGTTGTTGTTTTAATAGAAATTTAATTCGAGCAGTTGTATACTGTTGTATATGTGATGATGAATTGGTAGCATTCGATGAATCATAAGCCATAATGGATATTGATGATTGAGAAAAACCTGCAGGTGCAGAAGCACTATGATAATTTGAAGAAGCAATTGGTGATGATGATGATGACATTGTTGATAAATGAGAAGAACTCGACAATGACATGTTGTTACTAGAAGAAAAGTTTTTAATAATGATAAACAATTGTCTTGTGTTATTCTTTTTTTTTACACATTTAATCATTATTGATTGCGTAAATGTTATAGCAAATAAAAATAAAAGTATTAAATTCGATTTATCGAAAAAAATTTTGAGTGATAACGCGCGACGTCTTTTGAGAATTTTTATTTTTTATTTAAAATGATGGCCCATGGGCACCCATCAAAAAATCGGGCGGCCCAGCCCAGCCCAGCCCATGGTTTTCTGTTAAAGAAATTTCGGCCCACGGGCTGGGCTGGGCTGGGCTTGGCCCAGCCCATTAGGACCCCTGTAATCTACGAACCACAAGAAAAAAAAGCAAAAATATTTATGTCAACGTTAATGGATAAACAAAAGAAATAACAATCTACATCAGATGAAGTTGATCGTTACATATCTTTAGTACTTGATGAAGATGAACAATATGAAAATCCTTTAGACTTTTGGAAGAAAAAAGAAAATCAAGTAGCTTTTCCCAATCTTTCTCGAATGGCTAGAAAATATTTTTCAATTTCATGCAGCTCATCTGCTGTAGAAAGACAATTCAGTGCGACAGGTCAAATTATTACTCAACGACGAAGCAGCCTGGATCCATCAACAGTCAACGATATTATTTTTCTTCGTTCGATCGAAAATAAATTTTCTTAAATTTTTTTTGATTTATCTAAATATGCTTCACTATATGTATTTTTTTTCTTGTAAAAATAAATAATTATTATTGATATACTTAGAGATTATCAAAATTATATTTTTATAGAGACGAGTGAAAATATTCTATCATCACGAGGAGACAATATTGTCGAAAAAACTATAGAGATTTAAAATTAATAATATGGTTTTTTTTCATACAATATAAACCGAATCGAATCGAATCGAATTGAAATTTTTTCTCTATCGAATCGAATCGAATATTAAAAGTTGGAAACGAATCCGAGTCGAATCGAATTGAGTAGAACTTTTGCCGAGTCGAATCGAGCCGATTTGACATTTTGGAAAAGCGGATCGAATCGAATCGAGTTGAACCCAAGTCCAGTCCAATCGAATCGAACCGAATCTAACTTTTTTCATATTTTTCACGCTCTGACCCACACCCACACTCCACACCCTAAATACAGTGCCGCTTCAGCGTCGGGCTATTTTCTTTTTCATAAAGGCAAAAGATCGTTTTTTTGTATCAATCCACAGACGCGCGATCATTTTTTTAATTTCAATTTCATGAAACAACATTACATTATTATATCGAACTAGCGAGAAAAAAAACAAAGGTAAAGTATATGTACGATGAAATCAATATTCTTCACAAGTGAGAACTAAGTCGAGACCATGACATTCTCTTAAAATAGTCGATACCAGTGAATGGATAGAATGAGCAAATGGGTTCAACATCGATTCCACAAACGTGAAGCACCCACCAAATGAAGGAGTTACTGTTCGGACCCAAAAGGAAGTGATAAGGAACTTGAGCAAGATTGTAAACGTTGGTTTGTTTCCGTAAACATAGTACGAGACGTTTACAGTGCTTAGTTGGCACGATCCATTGCGAGCCTCTATGTTCCCAGTTCTGCTCTTTTACAAGTGCCCACGATTCTCCACCATTTGCCATATTGTCGCCCGTATGGCCACCTTCGACTAAACCATAGTTTCTTGGATTCTCAAAAATGTTAATGTACAAGTGATGAAAACCGAGCAGATAGAAAGCTCGCTCTTTCATATTCAAATTACTACCAATCCGCCTTGCTCCCAGAATCACAGTGCACACATCAAGTGCGCCTGATCGAACGCTATTGTTTATGTGTGGCGACCAAGACAAACCGATTTCGGAAGTCACTTTGACATATGTCCACATTAGAAACGCCACGGTAAAAGAGACAAAAAGAAAGAAAGCAGTGAATACCTTCATATATTCATCTACAAAACGTTGTCAAATGTCGATGAATTTGACGCAAGAAAAAATTAGTTGAATCAAAAATGAAAACATTCACATTATTACAAAAGACCATGGATCAGTTGAACTTATGTTTATTATGACGACCTTTGTTCCTTGCACTCTATAGCAACATCAGAAGGTTCTCGACACTTTCCTAACTGTGCACAGGGCGCAGTACATCCTGCTCCGCATGAACCTCCGATGCAAGTCCATGATCCATAGTAGTCTCTGATAACTGTTCCATTGCTAATCGTCTTGCCGTAACAGCCACATTTGCATCCTATACAGTCGCCGCTGAAAGAACCAGCCGTCGATGTCGCATTTTCGACTAAAAGTAAGGCTAACATTACGACGAATAAGAAACCGATTGTATTTTTCGTTAACATGGTTGATTTCGTGATCAATGTGCTGCTGTTCGATTGAGTGATTGGGTCGTAATGGGCAACTCAATGCCTTTTATATTTGGTTGTTTTTGTAATGACTGGTAGAGCAGATTAATTGTAACTTGATCTAGGAAAGGATTTTGGATGTATCCGAATGCAAATAATTATTTTGAAAGACGAGAGGGATTAGTTTGTTTTTTCAGTCCTTGATGAATTACCCTTCTGGTGATTTTCATCAGGCCTACATTCGTTGTTGTTATCTGACATCTCATGTATCGATGGGAGAGTCATACTCAAAGATGCTGTATAGAGAGTGGGTGTGGGTGTGGGTATGAATATGCTTGGAGTGTAGTTGAACTGAAGAGTCACACTCCACACGTAGCCACACCCACACTCACACTCACCCTCAAGTTTGGATCCAACCCCAATCAAAAAGAAATTTTCAGATTCGGATCCGAGCAGTTTCGGTCCGATGAGCTCTGTTATGACAGACATCTTTACCGCAAACCATGGCAGATATCATCTTTTAATGTCATAACAATTACGCTAACAACTTTTCTTTTTAGAAAAAGTTGGTACGATATGAATTCTTTCATTGAACTTTTAAAACCTAGTCGACTTACTGTTTGCAATGCTCCTGATGATGACTATAGAAGATTATTAAAGTTAACTATTGGTGAAATTTTATCAATAACACAAATTTATCATTTGAAAATTTCCGAAGAAAATATTTGTTGTACTAAATTAATCGATAAATTACCTTCACTTTATTCATTAAAAATCTTTTCTTTGAAATTATTAGAGCTAATATTTGCCGATTTCTACGAACATAAACTTCATTTGGTAGCAAATAATAATAATATCACCAAAGTTTATCTATTCAAAATGAATACTATCGAAGAAGTTTATTTTCTTATAAGACTTTGTCCTGATATAGCATATCTCAAAGTCAATTTTATCAATAATATTGATTATGAAGTGTTTCTAAAAGATCTTTTAATGAAAATTAATAATGCTGGCAATCAATATCTTCATTTATTATGTCTTTATATCCCAACAGCAAACAATGAAATGATTAGCAAATTACAAGATATGATCAATCGTGAGAAACTTCTTCATCGTTTTATCATTAAACTTGAATTTGATAATATGTATCATTAATAGAAATGATTGTATTTATGAGTGTTGTTTTTGTTTATCTATTGAATTACGAAATAAAAAAAAAACAAATTAAAACTCATTTATTCTTTTGTGTATGAACTGAAAACAAAATTGATCGATCGATTGATTGATATCTTTTCAACAGCTAAAGGGTGGCTTTTTTTGAGAATATAACAGTTTTTTAATAAAACTGGTCTCAAGGGTTTCAAAGTCGATAAATCTATGAGACCTATCAGTTTTCGAAAATTGTTCCATCTGATGCTCTTGGCCGAGGGTGTGGGTGTGAATGTGGGTGTGAGTCTTCTCTTCGTTACTACACGTGCCCACACCCACATCCACACCCATCGACTACTGTTTTTGCTCAATATCCTGATGTTGCTATTGATACATAAAATGAATATGCAGTTGAATATTATAAATAACATGAAACAGTAAAACATACAGCAGTTTTAGATCGTGGAATAGAACTATTTCATCATAGTAGAGTTAATAAAGTTGTTGCATGGGTTATTCAACAAGCGCAGCTTGCTAAAGAATGAACACAAACTTATTTAACAAAACATATTAATGACTAAATAACCAATTGTTAATAAATATGAACAATGAGAAGAAATTACAAATCAACATGTTTTTAAGTAAAATGGAATGTTCTTTAGATGTTAAATTACGTACAAAAAAGATTTGAGACATCCATTTAATACTGGACCGAAGAAGAAATAAATGATTTCATTCAAAAAAAGAGACTCTTTTTTCTTTTCTTCTGGTTTATCTTGTATATTTATTTTTTTTGTCACAGCTATACTATCAATTTCTTTTCCTTTTCATCAATGAAAAATTAAAGAAAAAAAATGATTAGAACATAAATTAGAATTTTGTTGTTAAATGTATGTAGATGAATTGGTGACTAAATATGTTTATTTTGTAGACATTCTTATTCGTTGAAGATGTATTAATCTAACAAATTTATTCCCTCTACTGAAAGGAGGGTCATACACCGAGTTAGTTTTGTCTGTTCGTAACTTCGTTCGTAACTTCGTTCGTAACTTCGTTCGTTCGTTCGCACAGAACGAAAAAATGTTTTCTTGACCTATCACATCATCGATCTTACAAGAAAACGTAACCTTAGCCATTGGATTAGTCTACAGCCCCTAACCCCTCGACCAACCAGATGTCTGCTTCATCTGCATTCCAGCCAATCAGATTTCCAGAGTCGCCGTTTGGACGAATCATACGTTTTCACGCTCTGGCTATGCGCCAATCAGATTTCCAGAATGACCATTTCGACCAATCATAGGTTTTCACAGTCTGGCTATGCGCCAATCAGATTTCTAGAGTGGATATTTGGGCCAATCGCAGGTTTTCACAGTTTGGCTATGCACCAATGAGATTTCGAGAGTGACCATTTGGACCAATCATAGGTTTTCACAGTTTGTCTATGCACCAATGAGATTTCGAGAGTGGTTATTTGGACCAATCATAGGTTTTCACAGTTTGGCTATGCACCAATGAGATTTCGAGAGTGGTTATTTGGACCAATCATAGGTTTTCACAGTTTGGCTATGCACCAATGAGATTTCGAGGGTGGCCATTTGGACCAATCATAGGTTTTCACAGTTTTGCTATGCACCAATGAGGTTTTGACAGTGACCATTTGGGCCAATCATAGGTTTTCACAGTTTGGCTATGCACCAATGAGATTTCAAGAGTGGCTATTTGGACCAATCATAGGTTTTCACAGTTTGGCTATGCACCAATGAGATTTTGAGAGTGGCCATTTCGACCAATCATAGGTTTTTCACAGTTTGGCTATCCACCAATGGGATTTTGAGAGTGGCCATTTGGACCAATCATAGGTTTTCACAGTTTGTCCAAGCACGAATGAGATTTTAAGGGTGACCAAATAAATGTATTTTAGCTTTTGTTTTTAATTCGGCTATGCGCTAATGATATTTTGTGAGTTAAGATTCGGAGCGAGGATGGATTTTTAAGTTTGTGTGGGCGTGGATGTAGAGGTGTGCATGTGGGTGTTGGTGTGGGCGTGGGTGAGGATGAGGCTGAGGGTGAGGGTGGGAATGTGTTTTTGATAGGGGGAAAGTGAGAATATGGGTTTGATAGGGTGTGGATGTGGCGAGTGTGGGAGTGAGTTGAGTTTGGATGTGAGTCTGGGAGTGGGTGTGGGTGTTGGCGTTCGGTGCGTTTGGATGGGTTGGAGTGTGAGTGTGTGTTTGGATTTGGAATTGAATGAAACATTCTTATGCATATCGACACCGACATCCACACTAGATCCTGCACTCATAGGCACCGTGTTTGTGTTTGAAACTGGCAGTCTAGATTTGAGTATGGTCGAAATACCTGTTGGGGCAGTATTCTTGGGTATTTTCTGTGAGTTTTAGTGATGTGTGGTAGTTAATGATACCGTACTGGTTGTATATGAAAGTTTATCGAATGAAATGACGGTGGTTCGGTTGCCTTTAGTCCTCAATGCAGTTTGTGGTTTTGTTACAATGGGGTCACATGAAGGTGCACTTGCGAGTTTAGCGGAGATATTGGTAACAAAATATGGTTGACACTGTTTGTCTTCTCTGGAATCGTTACTTAAGAAAGTTTTATATGACGTATGTCATATATAGCTTGTATTGTAGTATATAGCTGTCAAATGCTGCTTGGGATGCCGGTTGGATGCGCAAGCGATAGTGACTTTCTATCAATACGGTTCGTTTGCATAGTTCAAATTCTTTTCATTTTCTTTTGTCTTTATCGCTTTTATTTGAAATAGAGTTTCGTACAAGTTTTACAAAATGATCTATGGGCTAGAACTGTAAAATGCACAAATTTCGAGCATGTAATATAGAGTTTTTTTTATGAGTTAGATGGTTTGCCTGAAGATCACGGCACTCTTGCGACGTTGTTGTTTTAAACAATGAATTGAAAACGTTTCCGAGTACTTTGTGCTATTTTATCTAATCTTTTAAGTTCTTCTATTTGGGCCGTTGATGGTTTAACTTGAAGTGTTTCAAATTCGAATGGACGTATAATTAGTAAATCGTCAAGTCTCTTTTCACAAGATAATGGAACATAAACCGATGCAACTTCGAGTGGTCCAGGAGGCATGACCAAATCGACGATAATTTTACCGAGTGTTTGTCCTTGGCTTTTATATGTTGTCATGCTATTTGCGGGTATAAGCGGAAGTGCTTTACGTTTAACCGAGAGTTTTGTTGTTTTCTTGTTTATTTTGGCCGCTTTTGCTACATTTTCTGGAAGAAGTTCCTTGGCATCAAACAAGAATGTTTGTTCACTAATAGCTATAGGAACTATTTTGGACTGCAATTCAGCAAGTTTGTTATCAAGTTTGCAACCAGGAAATTCTACTAAAGCGTACTTTGGTTGCGTTATAAACTTGGTATTTGGTGGAAAATTCTTATCCTGGTATCGAACATCTTCTAGTGATTCATCGTATACAAGTTGACGAAAGATTCCACGTGTACCGTTGGAGAGTCCCAGTTCGGTAGCGATGTTTTCTGTGAGTAAAACTGGCATTCCTGGTACGAGAGGTAGATACCCTGGAAGATGTTCGGTTTTATTGTCAGGTGGTTCAAATGTGGCTTTACGTAATCGTAGATCATCCACTGGTTTTCCTTGAATATAACCTTGAGCAATGCATACAATTGTGGTAAGTCCCATTTCCATTGTTTTGTTTAAGACAGCTCTATTATTAATTTGAGTACGTAGCGTATTCCGAAAAACCAGTATTGGAGCCTATTGAAAGAAAAGTAATGTGATACACAGAGAAAATGAATGTGCATACTTCGTTCCATGGCTTTTGTTGTAGAGATACTTGAAGTTTTGGATTTCCTATGACTCTCGTATACAGAAGTTGGTAATCTTCTATTGTCGATTGTCCATGTCTTAATCTATTTAAAAGCTCCAAATATCTTATGTCTTCGGTTCGCATTTGCTGAGTTAATTCAACAACGCAGTTTATTTCAGACATAAGCCTCTGTGCACACAACATATCTATCTGACGTTCTGTAATTTGCTGTGTCGATGCGCAGCTACAGTAGAGAGGCTTGTCCAAAACAGGAGAATATTGAAGGTAGTCGCCGAAGAAAATGCCATTGACACCACCAAAAGATATCTCAGAATTTATGTGCTTCGCTGTTTTCACTATTCGATTTAGACGAGCTAAGAGACTAAGTCCTACCATGCTCATCTCATCGATTATCAAGTACTTCACATGACGCCATTCATTTTCCAATTTCGTATCGCCAGGTCTAAATGTACGAGTTTGTTTCTTTTTAGTGTTTTTGCGACTTTCACCTAAAAATGAATGGATAGTTAATCCATCAATTTCAGCTACTGCTATAGACGTTGGCGCCAGTTTATGCAACATCTTGCTCCTCTTGGTTACTTGGAAATACTTGGTAATTGCACGAATTAACTGAGACTTTCCAGTACCACCGCAACCAGGTATGCACATTAATAACTGATTATC